TTAAAAACGGTGGACCAATTGGAGCTGTTTTCAGACCGACCATAACTTGAAAGATGACGCTTCAATCCCGGTTTGTGGACGTTAAATCAGGTTTATTTTGTACGTTAACATAACAGCAGTGGAGATTAAGCTGTATCTTGTCACATTTGCGTGCAAAAAGAATGTAAAGCTAAACACGCTCTGTTTGTGTGTGTGTGTGTGTGTGTGTGTGTGTGTGTGTGTGTGTGTGTGTGTGTGTGTGTGTGTGTGTGTGTGTGTGTGTGTGTGCGATCACTTATGGCCCACTGTGACATAATCTGCTCCATCTGTGTCAATATTTGCTTATAAAATAAAGCTGTTTTTGTGACCATCTATTAAACACACATTATGGTTTTAAAAGGCCCGAGTGGCTCAGTGGGGGCGATTCCTGCGCAAACATTTCACAAACACCCCCGTCTGAGTGTGTGTATGTGTGTTTAGATCTTCATCAGGGTCTTTTGGCGCAGTATATTTATCACTTTATCAAAGATCAACATTTGCTCTGCAGATCAGCTGTTCAGTTCGGTGATTGTTGGCGTTAAGCGATTGACTGAACCTGCAAATATGCACAAGTTCTGTTTGCAGATGTTTAGTTTGAGTTAATGTGTCAGAAATGTTCACCTTGGATTGACTATAATTCAACCCTGCGTTCATCGTTTGAGATGAGTTCACTAGTTAGTTAGTTTGCATAATTTATTAGTTAAAAAGTGAATGTCTTGTGTATACACACTACCTGACTAAAGTCTTGTCACCTATCCAAGTTTTAAGAATAACGGCTTATATAAAAGGCAAAGGCCTCTAGATTTTGCTTATTTGAGCACAATAAAATCTGATCATGCCTTGATTTTGACTGATTTGATGAGGGCAGTAAGGTCTGACTCTGCTTAGACTAAAGTCTTGAACAGAAATAATGTCCAGTATAGAATATAAAGTCCTGCTGCAGTGGAGACAGAATGAATATTGTGTCTGACTCCATCATGAGCTTGGAGGACTGCATCCATACATCTCTGACATGACTCAAATCACTGATTAATAAAGTCATCTGGAATGAAGAAGAAAGCGTTCCTGCAGGACTCCCAGAGTTCATCAGGAGTCTTTGTGTTCATCTTCAACGTCTCCTGCTTGATCTTACCCCAGACATGCTCATTATGTTCATGTCTGGTGACTGAGCTGGCCAATCCTGGAGCACTCTTTGCTTTCAGGAGCTTTGATGTGGAGGCTGGAGTATGAGCAGGAGCGCTATCCTGCTGGAGAATTGTCCCTCTCCTGTGGTTTGTAGTGTAATAAGCAGCACAAATGTCTTGATACCTCAGGCTGTTGATGTTGCAGATCTCTCGCACACCCTCATACTGAATGTCACCCCAAACCATGATTTCTCCATCACCAAACTTGACTGATTTATGTGAGAATCTTGATCCATGCTGGTTCCAGTAGGTCTTCTGCAGTATTTGTGATGATTGGGATGCAGATCAACAGATGATTCAGCAGAGAAATCCACCTTCTGCCACTTTTACACACGATCAACTAGAAGTCAAGTTACTATTTCTCGCTTTTACAGCTGAGATCCACAACAAAACTTTTGTCAGGTATTATGTGTGTGTGTGTGTGTGTATATATATATATATGTATGTATGTATATATATATATTAAATTACATGTAACTTTTTCAAACTCAGGCACAAATGATGATTGGTTTAGCTTCTATAATTTATTTTAATAATTACTTAATTGGTCTGCTCACAACACTACTTAGATACTTCACCCAAAAATGAAACTCAAGTGGTTTCAAATTGTGTCTGTTAAACAAAGAAGATATTTTGAAAATATTTTTGGAACCTGTAAGCATTGACTACCATTAGTAGGAAAACCTAGTTCTACAATAGTCAGTAGCTGCACGTTTCTATCATTTTTTAAAATAACTTCATTTGTGAAGAAAAAAAGAAACTCAAACTTTTTTTGGGGTGAACTTTATTTTTGCTAAAAATCTGAACTGTTTCTTGTTCATAATTCTGCAACTCAGAATGATTTCTAAAGGATCACGTGACACATTTTACATTTTTTTATTTATATTAACTGTATTTTACTAACTGACCTTTTTTTACTCACTCGACATAGTTCTGACCCATTCTTGTCTTTGTTTTCGCATTTTGCGCTTCAAAATGTGCCACACATTCTCTATTGGAGAGAGGTTGGGACTGCAGACAGGCCAGTCCAGTACCTGTATCCTCTTCCTTTGCAGCAAGACTCCGTAATGTGTGCAGAATGTGGTTTGTCATTGTCATGTTGAAATATGCATGGGCATCCCTGGAGAAGAAAGCAGCATGTTGTGCTCCAAAATCTCTGTGTGCTTTTCAGCGTTATTGGAGCATCACAGAAGAGCAAGTTACCTACTCCAAGGGCACTGACACAACCAGGGGCGCAACTGCACATTTACTGAGGGGTATGCGGCTTCAACTTTTGCGCGCCCCCCTTCAATCCAACTATATTTTATAACAGGCAAGTGATAAAATGTGGAAAATATTTCCATCAATAAATTAAAGATATTTTTTCATAAAGATATCAATATGCTTTAAAAAATGCAGTTTCGCAGTTCTGAACACAACTGAAATAGTATGAAGTAGTAAAAGGTATAATTACATTAAGCATGTTAAGTCGCAAAGAAATGCATCTCATACCAGCCCAAATTTTTTTCTCAATTTAATTTTCCCTCACTAAATGATTATATCACCTTGACTAGCCTTGCTTTTGGACTTTTTGTACTACATTTGTCAAAACAAAATGAAAGACATGGGAGTCCTAAAGGGCAAAAGAACATTGCAATTACTTCTCACATGCATACTGTGAGAAGTGTAAGGTCTGTCTTTGCAAGAACAGTTGACTGAAACTGCTAAAAGTGAAATTAAAAAAGTCTGTCAAATGTTTAGTGTAAAAAACAAACAGAAACAAACAAATGTTCTATTTAATTGAAATGTTATAACTTTGTTTGTAGATAAAATAAAAATTGTTCTGAGCTAAGAAG